GAAACATCAGGGCCAGCACACCCAGGCTGCTGGATGCCCTGGAGGGCACAGTGGGGATGTGTCCCGAAGTCCCCTGTACCCTGAGACCACCAAGCTGGGTGTTCACAGTGTTTGGCAATGCTGCTGTCCACAATCTCTGGAGCAAAATTACTCCTGGTCTGAAACAGTACCTGCTCCTGCATGGCTGCAGGGTGGCAGTCTGGATCCTCACCAGCTCTTCAAACACTTGTTTGCAGTGTTGTGTAAAATGGCAGCAGAACCTCTCCTGGGCATTCTGGGTCACTGCAGTCCCCCAGGAGCTGGCATGCATGGGATATCCTTCCTGGGAGGGATGCACTCAAATTCCATGGCATTGCCCCTTTTTCCAGCTCCTCCTGCCTTTCTGGACCACGAGGAAAGGTGCTCAACACCGGGGCAACTTGCTCCATATCTCAGTCTCTTCAGGGTCCTCTTTCACTTGTTTGAAACCCTGCCAGTAGAAGCCCCCTGAGCTCCCCTCTTGAACCCCAGGGGATGTGCCCAGGGGACCAACTCTGCTGCCTTTTGCTACCTTTTGGAACTGATCTTTGCTCTGCCTTGCTCCTTGCTGCCCACTCCCACTGGTTCGCTCAGCAAGGGACAGCCAGTGACAGCCTGGGATGGCTGATGACAGTGCCATGTTGGCAGCCATGCGGCAAGAGGGCTGTTTCCCACCCCAGCCCCAGGCAGTGGGATGTGGAGAGTGGAAAATATGGGCACTTCGCCTATTTTGCTGTCTACTTTCTAACTCAGTGCTGTCTGCTGAGGAACCCTGCCAGCTCTTTGGGCTGGCTGCACCCTGCCTGTGCCCGTGGAGATGGCTCTGATGGCCACAACAGTGGGTGCGAAGTGCTGGCTAGGGCGCAGCACAGATACTGTGCTGCTCCTGAATCCCCCCAGCCAGGCTGGCAGCACTGCGGCAGAGCCTGGGAAAATGCTTACAAAAGACCTCAGTGCCAGCTCTGCAGCTCTGCTTCCGGCCCCTCCTCTGCAGCAGCGGGTGCCCAGCCCTGCAGTGGCTGTCTGCCAGCCCCGTGGGGCGCCCAGGGCTGCCTGGCCTCATCCCGCCCAGGCACCCCATAATTCACTCCACGAGCTGTGATCCCCAGAGGGTGTGGGGAGAGGTGAATGACCGGGAATGGGAGCTGTGTCCTCTCCGGCCACTGTGGCATGGCATAGCCAGGCCTAAGAAATATGATCCTGGTCCATACCCAGGCCAATGAGGCTGGATCGTTCTTGGGGTCACCCTGACACCCCAGAAGATAGCAAGCTGATAGCAGCTCCCCCAGTGCTATTACTCCAGTACCACATGCACTGAGCTGTGGCCAGAACCAGCTGCTGCCTGGCTCCCTTGTGCTAACCCTGCAAACTCTACGCACCCCACAAACCCCAGTTGCCACTGGGCCCCACTGCTCACCCTGCACACAGAACTTGAGCTCCTTGGCATCAGTGACCACCGTGGTATGCAGCTTCTCTGGCGCTTTCCTGCCCAGCCGTTTGTAACCACGCTGCTTCTTAGTCTCACCCCAGAGGTTGGAGCCGCCATACATGCTGGGGATGTTGAGGACGGCGATGCCTTCCAGGGATGCGTTGCTCAGGTCTAGCAGGGTCCCGTCACACTGCCGGGCACACGGGCAGGGTTAGGCCACAGGGACAGCAGGAGCTGCTGCCTGCCTGCTAAAGAAGCAGGGCTGCCCAAGCATGCTGCCAGACAGTCCCCAAAACAAACCTATCCCAGGGTAGCACAGGCAGCCCCAGGGTGGCTGAGGCTGGAGGGGCAAACAAATACTCCTTGTCTTTGCTTTTCTAGGTCTGAGAACAACCACCTCCTCTTCCTCGTGCCATCTTCCCCTCTACAGTGATACAAATTTTACTATACATCCACGACGGCAGCTTCAAGAAGCAAATTCCTATGAGACCACACAAAACCTCAGCCAGGCTTGGTGCTGCAATCCAAAATTGCAGGCAACACCACCTCAGCCCCAGAGTGACCTCCATTCAAGCATCTCCAGCATGCACTTTCCCACCCCTCCTTCAAACTGACTCCAAAGAATCAGAAAGTTTGGCTGCCCAAAAACTAACGCAAACCAGTTTATCTTCAAGTGCAATTTAGAAACTAGAAATGAGGCTGGAATGAAGTAATAGGAAAGGTGTCAGAGGAAAACATGTCAGTTTTTGGAGAGAAAACTGCAAGGTAGTGCACAGAGCTGGTATCCTGGGCTTCACTGTCATATAGCAGGACTGCCTCAGCTGAGAATTCCCTGTAAAAGTTAAAATATCTGTTACCTGCAGCTTTCCCACAGGACTGGAAGTAGCAGCCAAGAAAATGAATTTCTTAACTTCAGGTCTTCTCATGGTACTCAGATGACACTGGATCCCCTCTCTAGATACCTTTGGAGGAAGCAGCTGCTCTCCTATTCAACTGCATTTTCCCTTGTATTTTTTTGCATGTTTTTTTCTCTTGCATTTTAGTCATGTGATAACATTTCTGACCTCTCTTGCTTTGCCAAGAGGAATGCAAATGGGCTGATGAATCTCCACTGCTGCTTTGACTCCAGTTGTTTCTCTCTAGAAGAGTAAAGGTCTCCAGCTTATTTTTAATATGCTGTTGGTAAGCACTAAGCACGCTGGCCATACATGTGTGGAGCTGAGTATGAATACAAGCAGATGTCTCTGTATGTTCAGATCTGCTCTGCCTTTCCTGATGCTCTGATATCTTATTTTTTAGCCTCATGCTGAAAGCAAAAGGCGGGAATCTTCCGGTTTGGGAGTGAAGAGCTGTCTCTCTGAGACTTGTAAAGGATGTAAATCCCTTATTTCTCAATACATTTTAATGACATTATGTAGGAACAGAAAAGACCCTAACACTCTGAGCAGGAGATACCGAGTGAGGCAGACAATTTGTCATGAGAGAGACAATACATCCCACACCTGGCCGAGCCAAGCATCGCCAGGTATCTTTCCTGCCTGCCTGTGAGGCAGCGGGTCCTGACCTAGCCACAGTGGGATGGGAATGAGTTGGCTGCCCCCGGGCTGCCCGGGCTGCCCAGGCTGCCAGGAGCCCGTTCCTGCCCAGAGGTGTGCGGGGCGGGCAGGACTACGGCCGTCCATGCCTGCCCATGCACAGGCGTGCAGGGAGCAATTTCTCCCTGTGTAGCCCTTCCCTGTTAGTGTGCCAGCAAGCTACAATGGGCTCTTTGAGCAGGGGCAGCTGACGGCACGCTGGCAGCGATGCTGGAAGTAGAAATTTGCAGCTGGGGAAAAAGCAAATTTATTTCCAGGAGCTGTAGGGGAACTAGTGCCAATTTCCAAAACAAAACTGCCATTTCTCTGCAAGGCTGACAGTTGCCTGGGAGCTGGAGGGAGGACAGGCTGCCACTTTCAACTTCAAATACTGTGGGATTAACACTTTCCTGGCGACGTGGCACCAGCGGGTGCCAACACGTGCTTGGCAGGGAGGGCATGGGCAGCGAACGGGGCACCTTGGGAGGAGTGGGGGTCACTTCACATCCATCTCCAGCAGCATCAAATCCTACAGACTGCCCCGGGATGCTGGTGCATGGGCAATGAAGGGGGTGAGATGGCCATGTCCCTGCTCCTTCTTCCCACCACCTCCCAAGGGTGCAGCTACCCTCTTTGGGCTTCAGGAAGGCTGAAACTCCCCAACTAGAAACAGTCTGTAAAGTTCCTGCCCATAGTCACACATGCCACACCATGCCACCAGCTCCCCGCGCTTTGCCTGCACTCTGAGCCACCGGCACCCCTGCATCCGCTGCCCGGTCTGACTCACATCAGCCCTTTGCAGCAAGCGATGCTTTTTTTCCCTCGCCTTCAAGCCTCAGTTATAAAAGGGTCATTTATCCAGAGATAAGGAGAGGTGGAAGTTTACAGCAAAGCATGGCCCAAATCCCCCAGCACAAATGGGGAAATGACAGTGCTCTTAGCAACCGTGGGCCCTCCTCCTTGCTCTAATTAAAGTCTGTTTCCATGTCATCCAACGAGGGCTGGAGCAGACTGGAGTTTACAGTGAGAATATTCTAGGCACGCTCTCAAATACAGCTGGAAGGAGGGGAATATACAGGGCCATTCGGGGAATATACAGGGCTATTCTTCTGCCTGCAGCTGGCCGTCTTTGCAGTAAGTGCTGTGCGATGGAAGAGCATGTCCTGCCAGCCACCGCATCCTCCTGCCGCCATAAGGGGTCAAAGCTGCTGCAGCATCCCTTCCCCAAACAGCTAAAAGCCATGGGTGACATCTACCAAAAAGCCTTTGTGCTGTGGTTGGAGCTAGGGACCATCCCCAGAAACCCACCTCCACCTCAATGTAGTCATGGAGCTTCTTGCAGGTGGCTGCAAACGTCTCCGATGTGCCAAATTCGAAGTACCACAGCTTGTTCTTCATCCTGGGGTACAGAGAGGCATCAGCATTCTGCTCAGAAGAGGCACCTCGTGCCGGCCGCCCCCAGCCCAGCCAGATGGGCTACCAGAGCCCTTGCAATGGAGACACGAGCCATGAATGGGGACATCGTGGAGAGGGACTACCAGTGCCATGGTCCCAGGGAGCTGTGCTGTGGGACAGGGGGTTGCACATGCAGAGCTGGCTCTGAGACCCTGCAGAAGAGAAGGATGTGAGTGCTGGGTGGTCCATCAGCAGAACTGGGTGTGGGTTGTCATCTCTCAATGGGGCTGCAAGGGACAGAACAGTACCCCATGGAGGGGATGTCCCCTGCCTCAGCACCCTGCCAGGCAGGCCCTGGCCACTGCTCATCCTCTGCATCAATCACTGTGCCAGGCTTCCAGAGGGAGCTATAAGCTGAGGGGAGCTGAATTTCAGAGCAGAGCCAGACACTTTGGTCCATTTGGGGTTCTTCTAGCACGTATTTCTGAACAGGGGATGGGGGTCACAAGCCATGGCTCCTGCTGCTGTCCTGCCATTTCCATGTACCTTGAGCATAGCAGGAGTGAGCTGTGACCTTCTGCCTGCTCGGCCCTCATTGCCTGGCCTGCTCCTGCTGGTCCAGGAATTCGGTGTTAACTATAAAGCATGAATGAATGTACTTGTGTGTGTGGCCAAGTTCAAGCACCCTGCCATGCTTCAGGGGGCCCAAAGAAGCACCCTGGACCCCCACCATACCTGGCCCCTGCTCCCCGGCCATGCCTTTCACATCCCCTGCCCATCTCCTAAGGTCAGCTGAATACCGCACTGCCTCCTCTGGGCTGTCCCATGAGGAGAGTGGGGAGAGGAGCCCAGTGGGAGAGCAGCAGGCTCCAGCATGTCTAATTGGCACAGTGCACAATAACAGTCAGGTGACTCCCCTTCGTCCAGCTTTTGGGGGGACCACAGGCAGCCCTTACCTGCTATTGAATTTCTCAGGGTGCTTTTCTCGCATGACATGGAAGCGGTGAGCAATGGAGGCATCCTGAGGGGAGAGGGAGCAGAGATGTCAGCGGCACAGCAGGGAAATAGAAACACCCTCTATTCCACTAGCACATGCCAGGATACAGGGGCTCAGCTCTTTACCCTCACTGCCAGCCCCCATGGCACAGGAGCGCAGAGTGGGGGCTGTGCCAAAGCGATGGAGACACTGTCAGACTGGCTGTTTGCAAAGCCTTGAATGGACTTGTTAAGCAAGACATAATTCCTTCCCTCATCATAGGGGCTCCACAGGGAGGTGATGCTGAGGGAGAGAGGAAAGGCTACCAGTGGGGTAGTGGGGCTCCAGGGACACCCCAGGACCCTGCAATGTGACAGCTCTCCTGGCAGCGTGGCAGCTCTCTCAAAACTCATTGCAACCTCTCCAATGCAGGGTGGGAAGCTGTCACTAAACGTCACCTGCAGTGACATCCTCTGGCATTAGGAAAAGCTGATGTGAAACTAGAAGCATCTCACAGCACTGCCAGGTGGGTGACCCACGCCGTGGTGGTACCACTCAGGCACCCATGGCCCAGGACAAAATTGCCCCTGGGAACAGAAGTGCTTTCCACTTTGCTGTTCCCCCAAAGCCCTGCTGCTTGCAGGAGTGACCTCTAGCACTAAGGAAAGCCCCTATGGAAGCTGCCATCCTCCCCAGGCTCCCTAAACTCCATGGGTTAGGAAAAAATGAGGGAAACGAGGTCCGAGCACCAAAGCAGAGCTTTGCCAATGGTTGCCATCTCAGCAGAATCTTAAGTGAGGTGTCCAGCAGATCTCAACCCATCCCTGTGACCTCAAACTTCTCTGAACCTCATTTAAGCTTCTCACACACTTGATCTTGCAACATGGCTAGCTGGGAAGAGAAAGATTCCATGCCTGTTTATGCATTTATGTGCTGCCATTACAAATGACAATAAAACCAGAAAAACAATGCCAGGAGATGGAGGGAGGTTGGGAATGCAAGCAAAGAAGAGCAGTGAGGGAAAGTCCCTGGCTTGGGAGACTCAATCTCAAATATAGTTTCATCAAACTCCTAGGCTTTTGTGCTCTCTGAGGAATGTCATCAGGAACCAGTCCCTGCTCCTGGGAATCAGCTTAGGGTTGGCTCAGAAAAGGGCTAAGGATAAGTCTAGGAAGAAACAGGGAATGAAGTGTCGGTGTCTGGCATCCCTTGGGTGCACCTGCCAGGCTGGATCACTCCAGTGAATTTACAGCAGCTGAGGCATTTTCACTGGCTGAGTGGAAAATACCCTTGGGAATCCCCTGATCCAGGTGTGTTTGAGGCTGTGGCTGCACTAGGGACCCAAGTGAGATCTCCTCTGCTCCAACTGGCCTCTGGAGCTCTTCCCTCCACTTTGCCATGGTTGCACAGCTCCGGTGTGCACAATGCGGCATTGGTCTGGGCACTGATTACCAGCCCTGTGCTGTGCTGCTCTCTCCAGCTAAAATGCGTGTGCTGTGCTCTGGGCTGCCCTCAAGACCCATTCCTGCCCCATGGTACTCACCACCCCGATGGAGAAGTAGTTGTTGATGATGGTGGATGGGACAGGATCTCCCTTGGCCTCTCTGTCACTGGGAATGATGTCTATATGCCAGCGGTCCAGCATCACCTCTGTGCTGTGCTCAATGTCTTTCAGGACCTTCAGCAGGTTGCCTCCTTCATAGCCTGTAAGGGAAAGAAGGTGGATGTTGGAGGAATACAAATGAGGAAGAGGAGCACAGCCATACCACTTGTGGCTGGAGGTAGTTGGGTGCTGAGCACCTGGGGGAGCCTGGGACTGCTCCTATGGCACCAGAGAGATACCCAGCTTGTCTTTGCAGCAGTGGCAGAAATTTCAGCTAACAACACAGCACTCCCAGGTGAAAAAAGTTGTTGGGCAGGACCCAGATGACGGGAATTTAGAAAGCAGCAGCTGCTTTTTTTTTTCAGAAGGGGTTAGGGGAATACTCAGGAGGCACCAGGGCTGAGATCCAGCTCTAAGCCTCATCCCAAGAGTCTGAGGGCCCTCCCTTCCCTTCCCCATCCAGGATGGCACCCACTGAGCCACACTGGATGGTCCCCACAGCCCCAGGTGATGCTCACGCAGCCCCACCTCCTCCCCAGCGCAGGCACCGGGCCAGGTCATTGCCAGTTCCCAGGGGCAGGACAGCCACTGGTGGGTGCTTCACGAAGTTCGCCTTGTCTGTAATTCAATAGGAAAGAGAAGTTTGTGGCTGAAAGGGCTCATTCTCTGCCCATCTCTGTGCCCCTCCTCAGCAGCCTGAGGGTGATGCTGTTGGCAGGACCCCCACTCTGCTCTCGCCAGGGGAATATTGGGAA